CSCYCCYSYCTCCGTGCGTGTGTGTGTGTGTGTGTGTGAGAGAGAGAGAGAGAGAGAGAGAGAGAGAGAGAGAGAGAGAGAGAGAGAGAGAGAGAGAGAGNGAGAGAGAGAGAGAGAGAGAGAGAGAGAGAGAGAGAGAGAGAGAGAGAGAGAGAGAGAGAGCGGTGGGGAGGGGAGGGTGGGAAGAGCCTCTTGCTTCTATGTGTCCCTCCGTCGTTCTGTCTCCACTCTCTCTCCCCGTGTTTCTTTCGTTTTTTTCTCTACGCCCTCTCGCATCCCCTCTGCTCCCTTTCCTTCCGCATCCCTTCCTCCTTTCGCTTCCTCGCTTCCTCTTTTTCTATCTCCGCTCTCCCCGTGCTGTCTCTCCCCTTCGCTTTCTTCCGCCGTTTCGGCCCCCCCCCCCCCGCCCCCGCCCCCTCCAACTTTTCTCTCTCGTGCTATTGCTCTTATCTTCTTCGTTTTCTTTTCCCATTGATCGATGATGCAACTGCCCGTCTTCCCCCGAATAGAACGTACGGTCATGACAGCTGTACGGGGGCGAACTTTCAGTCTAGATACAGCGAGAATGACTGTACATTCTGTCCGAGGAAAGTCGGGTACCGTGCCGCCGCGTATCTGCTTTCTCTTTCTCTTCTTCTTGATGTGCGCGTAAGCTGAGATTAGTGTGCGCGGCTATGCATTGAAGAGAGCTTTCGAAGCGTGTACGAAAGGCAGCTGGCCCCTGTTTTTCACTGTTCTTCTTCTTCCCGCTGCCCAGCCCCCTCCCTCTTCTCCTCTTTGTCTCACTCCTCCATTTCTGCGGAAGTCCGTTTTCGGCCTGGCGTTCTGTTCCATCGACGCGCTCGTCAGCGTGCGATACCACGTCGCGGTCTCGCACAGGGACTTGTACGGGTGGTATGCATCGTCTCTAGCTGTAGCTATATAGCTTATTACGTAAATATATAATCCACTCTCTCCCACCGTCCCTTCCTTAGCAAATGAGAGAGATAGAAGGGTGAAAGGGTGGGGTGGCGAAGCTCTCTGCAAATCCCAACCCCTAGAATCGAATCGAATCGGATCGAAGCGAACAGGCGACCTTTTCGATGACGTACATGGTAAATGAATGATCAAAGTGCACGAAGGAAGAATGAATGCTTCCTTTCGTGAAGAGGAGGATCTATAGAGGGAGGGGATTTTGGTTGGCTGTGGCTGGAGGTTCGTTGTTCATGCGTTTGGCGCGGGGTCCCCTCTCTTCCCTCCGAAGCCACGGGCAGGTAGGTTGAATACAGGCTCAGCGCGATTTATTACTACCTTGGGTCATTCCCCTGTTTTTCTCTCTTTTTACAAGGGCGACGGCCCAAGAAAAAGCAAAAAGAAGAAAAGGCGACGGTCTTGAGGTATTATTATTATTATTGAAGCTGACCGTCCCGTGGTGATTCTGGGCATCTGATTGTATCTGGATTCTGGGCATCTGATTGTATCTGGATTCTGGGCATCTGATTGTATCTGGATTCGAACTTGGGTCTGATTCATATTTCAACAGTTAGTGGGTGTACCAACTGAGCTAGGCTCGTTGGTGTTTTTTTTTTTTTTTTCTCCTTGTCTTGACAATTGATCAGGATTACTACGAGGACGCGTTTTGCTTCGAAAAAGAACGAAGGTTCTTAGGAGGTACTCACACGAGCTCTCTGTTAAATGTATTTTACCGCAATTATGGCCGGAGATGAATGTATCTAACATTCAATTATGTCCAGAAACAAGTGAAAAAGTCCTAGTGTTAAAAAGTTCTTGGATTGGGTGTTTGGTATGATGATGACCACGGAGAAAGAGGGCGGCGGGAGAACGGGGAGAAGAGGAGGATAAGCGTAACTACCGCCGTCGCCCGCATTCAACGCACCCTGGTTAAGACTATCTGAACGGAAAGGTAGCTTGTATACACTCATAATCAGGGTGCGTTGTGTTCGGGGGAAGGTGATAGTGGGCAGGATCGTCGGACTATGGTGAATGGGATGATAATTTTGATGATGATGACTTTTGAATGTCCAGCAGGGATTTGAGTGATTAATGGTGACGACTACTAGATGACTACTAGATGATGATGAGGAGGAGGAGGATTGTGAAGATGATGAGGATGATGGCTTTTAAATGAGCAGCAGGGAGTTGAGTGATTAACGATGATGATGATGACGATGACCAGATGATGAGGACGAGGATGATGAGGATGATGAAGGGGGAGGGTCATGGATCAAAAAAGTTAAAGAAGGGAAAAAGTGGATGTGTGGTTGTGACAGTACTCTGTAGAGTAGCAACCCAGGCGCGCGCGATGGTGTGAAGTCGTTCGGGCGGGCCGGGCAGGGGCAACGAGTCATTGGTGAAGAATCGGGTGAAGAGTTGAGCAACTAAGAGTCTAGATACGGTGATAATGACCGGGCGTTCTATTCGGGTGAAGAAGCGGGTAATTATTCGTTCACTCTGCTCCGAGTGCTACGTAGGGCGCTTTATGCCGACGGTGATGATAATGAGGACGACGATGATGATAATGATAATGATGACGGTGATGATGATGATGATGGTGATGGTGACGAGGACGGAAATAGTAGTGATGATGATGAGGAGGAATCGAGCAATTAATTCTTCGTTCTATTCTGCTTCAAGCCCTGGCGGTAAGAGCATTTCGACTCATTATCTAATTACGAATGAATTGGACATTAACTAATTAATTAGGAATAAATTAATTAAATTAATTAATTAATTAGTCATTATCACGTTCGTGTGCGTGCGTGGTGTGCTGTCTTGCATGTTCCCCACCTTTTCTTCAGCATACGAGTATCGTTGGTGGGTTTTAGAATTTTATAGTTTTTATTGGTATTTTGATCGGGTTGCTTGAGGCGGCGGCAAGCAAACTCAGGACGTTTATTTATTTATTACAACTTGCATGTCTCCATGAAGTATGTGTATGTCTATGGGCATGC